TAGAAATCTCCATTTTAATTGCTGTTCTCAAGCATTTAAATGTTTGAGAATGAGTTACATTTTCTTCTACCTCACATTACATTATTGCACTTTATATCTACCATATTTCTATGGTTGTGGGAAAGAAGTACAATGTCGTGGTTCAAGCCCAGCCGGCAACTTGGAACCACGCAGCCGCTCGCTCACTCCCCCCCTTTTCCTTCCTCCCCCCGCTCCCGGAGGGATGGGGAGGAGAATCGGAGGAATGTAACTCCCACGAGTTGAGATAACAGCTCTCCAGTAACTAAGGTATAATACAAACCACTACTGCTACCAATAATAAGAGGAATAACAAGGGAAAAGGACACAACCGCTCACCACCCGCCGACCGATACCCAGCCCGACCCGAGCAGCGATCTGGGCCTTCCGGGTCACTCCCCCCAGTTTCTATACTGGGCATGACGTGCTGTGGTATGGAATACCCCTTTGGCCAGTTTGGGTCAGGTGTCCTGCCTCTGCTTCCTCCTGGCTTCCCCTCCTCTCTGGCAAAGCATGAGACTGAGAAAGTCCTTGGTCAGAGTAAACATTACTGAGCAACAACTAAAAACATCGGTGTTATCAGCATTGTTCCCAGACTGAAAGTCAAAAACACAGCACTGCACCAGCTACTAAGAAGGAGAAAAAATGACTGCTGTAGCTGAACCCAGGACATACAATTACTTTCTTTTTACAGAGGAAGAAGTTGCAGCCAGTTAGGTGTTGCAGGGCTCTGGTAGCTGTCATTACAAGTTATTCATCTTCCCAGAGGAAAAAGAGCTCACTGAGAGAATCGCTGTGATGACGTAGTGTGTCAGAGTGAATACTGGCAGAATTGGCAAGCAGAATGTGAAAAGCCTCATCATCAGTTACAGGCATTTTGCATCCAACAGCTTTACATTAAATAAGTATTTCTAAATACTTTTCAGAAGTTCTGCAAATTGTTTCTGACAGCAGATTTTTCTTTTTCTTGGGACAGCTTCATCGACTGGAATGCAGCTTGTGACAGCCAGTTTTCCAACATGTATTGTCCTCTAGAGATGAACGAATATGGTGCTTTCCCAGAAGGTAAGATGGAATAAAGCTTATGAATTATCACTGGGCATGATGTTTTTTCCTCTCACCTTTTGTAGAACAAAAGGCTGAGCTTGTCTATAAACATCTGGGCATTCATTGCTCAAGTGGGCTTTATGGTTTCCAGCTGACTGGGTGCTCTGTAGTAATAAATGATGTCTGCATGTGGTGGATGAGAAGACTGATCTTCATATGGAGTAATTAAGCCTGCAAAGCCAGTATACAGGACTCTGAGAGGGAACAGAGAAAAATGCTCGTGACTACAGTATTACACAAATCTTTTTGCACAATTTTCTTTGTTTCCCCTCTGGCAGGCTTCTGCCTTCAAGTGTGTGAAACAGAAGGCCTCTTGTGACCAATTACCTTTCCAGGCTAGAATTTCTTGGCTTGGGAAGCACACTGGCAGCAACCTAGAATTCTTTAGCATTACCTAAGCAATAATTAAAGGTCAGGCTACACTATCACAGTGATCAGGCAGCACAGTGATCGCTCAGGTGCTTAGAGCTGAGGCATGTTGGCAGTGAAGCCTGGATAGGCTCTGCCATGCAAGTTCTGTGGCTAATAAAGACTCTGCTCTCCAGTAGAGAGATTGCCAACTCTTCATCCTGTCCTCCTAATAGCAATTTCTTAGTGGGTCCCTAATACAGAGTGGTAGTCCTGTTAGCAGAAGCTGTTATGCTTTGCTGCTGTGCTGCCCTGAAGCTGCCTGAAGCCACTGAAGGCTTAAGCTAGTTCCAGCCTGGCTCACTCCCAAGAAGATTCAATGCTCCTCCACTGAAATTTTAGGAGTGTTTATATTGCAAAAGCCTTATGTTGTCTTCCTGCTTTTATAAACTGCAGAAAACATGAACTACCCCAGTGGCTTCCCAGGTACTGCAGCAGTGCAGAACACAGCCTTCATTGACCAGAACTGTCCCTCCACCTGGAATGCGCCTCCCAACATGCCGCCCACCTGGGAGCCCACCAGTTATGTCAGCTCCACAGTGAGTACTGTCACTGCGAGGCGCTGCCTTCGTGCTCCTCTTCAAAGCCTTCCCAGCGCATTCCTGTCTTTTCTACCCGCAGCTTTCACATTCTTCATGAATCCTTTAGCCTGATGCATGTATGTGATGCTGGCATTGGTGGCCTGGCTTTTCCCCAGCTGTTTGTCAAGGTTGTTACTAGACCGTGTCTGTGAAATTTTAAGACAGATCCTCTTGCCTGAAAATTGACTAAAATCATCTTACATGTGGAAAAACATTTTGGACTTACATAGTCTATTGAGACTTTTTGTATCAAAATCAACCTTTCCAGATGAGAGTAAAACACAAAAAGTGCTGACAGCAAAACCCAAAGAGATTTGGAAACTGTAGAGCTGAATGGACAGCTGCTCTCAGTGACATTGACAGGCTTTTTTTTTATAGGAAATCCAAGTGATTTAAGCTGGATTTGTGCGGAGTTCTGAGTGCTGACTTTGACCTGTTACGGTGCAGACTAGCCATGTTGATGTCATCCCATAGTGCAATGTAGTGACTTCAGTTCAAGGTGGTCTTTAATTGTAACCACCTTCTCTTCTGCTCATATTTCAAAATAGTCTATTTTAGAATTTTTTTCTTTTTTTATTTACAGTAGGTTTATTTTGAATAAAACCAAATAAAGCAAGAAATGTTTCTAACTGCAAAAGTGAAAATTCTGAGTGTTTAAAAAGTGGCAAAAGTGGTAGAAGACTGTTTGGTAACATAGACATGGCTTTATTTCATATTTTATTCAGGAACGCCAGGAAACACAGAAGGTAAAGTTTGGAAAATAAATACATTAGATAATTCAGTTCATTTCCTTGGCGAGCTTTTCCCCACAATACATTTCAGTGTTTCATTCAGTTTCAAAAGTCCCAAGACTTCCATGACCTTCTCCAAGAGGACTTCCTCGCAGCCTAACACATCTTGCCCTCCAGGAGGTTCTTTATAAGCTTTCGAAACTTTCTAACTCAATTCCCTAGCTCCCAATTACAGTCTCTTTTCCACAGTGAATCCGCCTCTCTGCTCCCAGCATGCAGTCTTTCAGTACTGACACATACTTCAACCTTTTTCTTGTCATTTCTTAGGCATCCTTCTCTTTCAGTTCTCAAAACATGCGTGGTACTCTTCACGTCTTCCCTTTCTCCCTTATTTTTCTGAACAGCCTGACCAGAACTCAATATTGTATTCCTGTTACAGTAGTATCAGTGCTGTGCAGGGGGGAGCTCATATGGCTTCATTTAGGAAAGTGCCTTTACACACACACACTAATGCTATTGTAGTATTTTCGACAAACATACCGCTTTGTGAACTCGTGCAATTTTCTACTTGTGTGTTTCCCAAGTTCTCTATGTAAATTCAGCTTCCTCCCACTCAGTACTTCATGTCCACGTTTTCTCCCCAAGTGGTCCATTCTGCAGTTTCCCATAATGATTTTATTTTGCCCTACAGCCCTACCTCTCAAGCACCCGAAGCTTGTCTCCGATGTCTGGACTTTTTGGTTCCATCTGGGCACCTCAGAGTGATGTTTATGAAAGCTGCTGCCCCGTCAGTGCCACAACCCAACACTCAACCCATGTGGAAAACCAGGCAGTTATGTGTAAGCAGGAATACTATCCGAGGTTTAACCCCTTCCGTGCCTACATGAACTTGGACATATGGACTACAGCAACCAATCGAAATGCAAATTTCCCACTTTCGAGGGACTCGGGTTACTGTGGAAACATGTGAAAGGAATTTGATTTTAAAATGTGAATAAAGATGCTTGCAATTTTGATTACTAGAGTAAGCTGGTTGTTGAATAGATTACAATGTTGGTGGATATTTTGGCACTTTTATATTGAAAATAAATTTTTTTTTACTGAAGTCTGAGCATTCAGTGCATTTTAAAAAGCAAAGCATATTCAGGATGCTGTTATTGTCAAGTGAAGGCTGTAAATTTAAATCTCAAATTTTTTCAAGAATAAGGATACTATTAGGTTCTTTAAAGCATCCATGAACCTGTACTGCACATGTTTCTTCTGAAGCTTACATTCTGTGCTATAAACTAGGAGTGGTCTAGGATTTGCAGGTACAAACTTACACCCGTAAGCAATCGCATCTGTACCAAACAGCAGTACTGGGGACCTACCTGGTTGGTACAGATCAGAGATTTCCCAAGTGGTGCCACTTCTACTGCTGACAGTTATTCAGGCAGTATTAAAAAGGCTGAATTTGTCTTGTTTGTCTGGCTTCAAAATGCAAGCTGTCACTTGGGCGATGTTATGCTTGTGCAGTGTAGGTGAGTGGGCATTTCTTCAGGAGCTTTTCCTTCTGAGTGACTCCCTGACATTTTGTGTTTATATTTTTAGCCTTCATGTTGCAATAGCATTTTCAGTGCATTTAATTGCCCCTGTTTAAAATGCCAAAGCTTGAACTGGAACAAATATTTCTTTTGAGAGCAGAGTTCACACCACTCTCCAAAACAGAACAGCATTGTGTTAGCTCATGCTGTAAGACTGAAGCTTTGTAATGGGAAAGGCAGCCAGGCAAGTGCTGCCACCCATGTCAGGGCTGAATCTGTCATGCAGCGTGTCTCAGCTTACTGTTCTGTAGAGCCTTTTCTTCTGGCATGGCAGGGTGTGTCTGGGCATCTTCACTCTTAGGTGTCAAAAAGAGGGGAAGGTGTCCCATAGGTTCAGACGTGTCCTCAGCAAGGGGACTAGTTAAGCCTGGAGAGAGTGAAGGGGGATCCAGTAGCAGGCTTGTACAGACATTAGGGAGAAATTCTTCGCTGTGAGGTTGGTTGCCCAGGGAAGCTGTGGCTGCACCATCCCTGGCAGTGTCCAAGGCCAGATTGGATGAGGCTTTGAGGAACCTGGTCTAGGGGAAGGTGTCCCAGTTCATGGCAGGGGGGTTGGAACTAGATGAGCTTTGAGATTCCTTCCAACCCAAACCGTTCTGTGACAAAGATGGCAGAACCAAAGCCTGTGTGGTGGCTGCAGGCACTGTGGCAAATGGCAGTGGTCACAGGTTGCCGCATGGGAGGTTCAGGTTGAACATGAGGCAGTTACTTCTCTTGGAGAGTGGTGCTGCAGGAGAACAGGTTGCCCCAAGGGGCAGACAGGTATTTCTGCCTGGAGGTATTCATGACAGAGCTGAACGAAGCTGCACTGGCCCATGCTAGTGGTGGTGGCCGTGCTGCTCTTTGTGGGAGATTGGACTAGAGACCGTCACCATTCTGAGGACTCTGTGAGCTTGACCAAATTCCTTACTTTTTGCTACTTCAGTTGGTGTCCTCTTGCCTTTTGGATACAGACTGGGAGACAACAACTCTGACAATGAGATGTTGAGGCTTTCACGTTTGTTTTATTTGAAGACAGAGCAGAAATGGCACTGCTGACAGCCTTTGGGCAAGGCTGCTCGGCAGCCTGAGCTCCCAGGCCTGAATTCAGGCCCTGCCAGTCTCACCATGTGTCTGAGCTATCGGACCAGCTCCTCTGACTTGCTGGTTTCAGCCGGAAATGCCATCCAAGGGCTTGAAATGTTTCATCAGAAACATTTCCGTATAAAGTTTCTTTCAGTGAATCAACAGTTCCTGCAAAGGAAGCTTTGTTGAAAGATACCCTGCCAGCTATGCTTTCATGTGTGCTTGAGCTAGCTCAGAAGGAGGTAGCAACTGGGTGGGATACTCAAAAGCTGCTACATTTAGCCGCTTTAACTGCTCATTGGGAAGGTGCTCCTAAGCCTTCCTTTGGTTTTGATGTCAAAAAAATGGGATCATCCCTGAATGCTTCTGAAAACCATGGTGATTTAATGGCTTGATCAGGAACTAGTGCCTGGAGTCTTTGGCTGCTTTCCATGATGTGTCGTGCTGGGCAGGAATCTGTTTGACTCTGGAAGTTTAATCATAATTGCATGTGATTCTGAAGGGAAGTCCACATGTTCATATGAACTTTGATGCTCCTGGAATCAGTAATAAGCCATGAGAAATAGTCGTAACCACTGTGCACCTCTTGACTATGGTAGGAGATTTCAGGAGGAATAGAGTGGGAGTGCCAACACAATAAATATGGATAAAAAAAAGAAAAAAGTGTTCCTTTGGTTTGAAATGCAATGAAATTCTTTATTCCCTTGATAATGTTGCTTGTTGTATAGCATGTTCATTGAATTTTGTATGTACAAAGGCACAGGAGAGAAGAGGGGACATGCAAAGCTGTGCTTAGTTAGCTTACTCAGCTCATTCTGTTAATTCTGTTAATTGTTTTAAGGAGATCTGTATTTTCTGTGCACTGAAGTGAAGATTTTCCTCAAGTACCAGTGTAAGTAGATGCTTTTCTTCTATCTGCAACGACCTGTAACAAGAACAAGAAAACCCCACAGAGTTCTGATTAGCACTGGCTCCCTGTTGTAAGGAACGTGTATGTTTGAGTCAGAATAAATCACTGGAAAGGAGAGGAAAAAAAGCTGGCAATAAGCCAAGCAAAGACCCTGGAGAGTTCAGGGAGAGGGGGAAAAAAAAAGTTAGAAAAGATGACCTCCGTGAAGAAGTTGGTCAGAGTTGTTAAAGGCCAGCAAAAGACAAGGGAAATGAGCCGCAAACAACTGGAGAAATACTGCTAAGAAAGAAAACAATCATTCTCTTTAATCAAACCAGAACAGATCAAGAAGTCGTTCCTCAGGGAGCTGTGTAGTATTAGGCAAAGTACTTCATATAACTTTTCATAACAATAGCTAAGGAATGTAACAAGCTCATTAAGGTTACCAGGAATAATTGCTGCCATCAGGAGAAATCTGTAGCTTAATTAGCAATCCACTCAACTCAAGTGCATTTGGGCTCAGTTAAAAATCATTCCTCCTGCAGTAAAGGGGAAGATGAAATAAATAATTCCACTACAAATTTCTTTGTACCGAAATGATTATAATTCTACTGGAGTGAAACTGGAGAGGTTGCTCTAAATCAGACATCTCATTGTTGTGAGCAAAGTAATTCCCAATTTCTTGCCTTGTGCCAGGCATTCCTCATAGCGGGAGCTTCAATAATCTCTGAAATTGGTACCAATTTTTGAGAAACTGCAGCAAAAGAAGCTTTCGGTTAACCCAAGAAATGCTTCAGATTGCAAAGGGTGAAACAAAAATACCAGTATAAAAGAGGAATGGCTTGCACAGTTCACCAGTAGGGCAATGCAGTCATGGAAGGGGGAAAAACATGGACAGTCCAACAAGTGTGCTGATTTCTATGACAATACAAATGCTACATAATTCAGGACACTGAGTATTTTTCCCAGGAAGAGACCTGGGAAAAGCGACAGCCAGCCCTGTTCCCTGCTCCCAGTGGATTTGTGGCTTCTTTTATATATGCACTGGAGACAGAGGTACCAAGTTGTCACTGTCCTTGATTTGCACAGGACATCTTGGCCAAGACTGCCCAGTTGGTCAGGTATTTCCATCCTGGAGCCAGAGAATTTTACTGGCACCTTTTGTGAAGGTTTATAGGTACTATGAGAGACAGGTGGACAAAGCCAGCACGTAATGCAGGGGTGTTTAGCTGCCCTAGCCTTGCCAGGCTGCAGCATGCCCCTCACAGCATTAAGCTGGAGAGTTTAGGGAAGAGGAGCAACCAACGCAGCTCCACTGTGGGACTCTGTTTCTTGCTAAGTGGTGTTGAGCTTGTTTCTGGATGGAGGGATTTGGACTTCCCAGCAGCCTGGCTGGCACCAGTCTGGCCTGGGAGCCACGTTTGAACTGCCTGGGAGCAGCACACCAGTCAGACTGAGCTGCAAATGCCCACTGTGGGGTTAAAGAACGTGTGGGACAGTACAAGTGCCTGCGGGCAGGCTCAGCCTGGCAGCAAGGCTCTTGTCATGAGCAGGAGAACCTGGGCATGCAGGGCTGTTCCAGCCGCCCCAGGGAGCAATGAGCAGCTGGCAGCTTGCTGTTGGGCTTGCAGAAATGAGCCTCAAAGCCCTGAGGGCAGCTGAGGGATCTGATTGCCAGGGGATAAATGAGCTCATTAAAGAGAGCTGTTAACTATCTTAATCCACTCAAGAGGGTGGAACAGGAGGAGACATGGGGGGTGCTCACCAGCTGCGCGGGGGCTGGCAGTGCTTTCACCTCCAGCACCCAACTTCTGTCTGCCTCCGGAGAAGCCCTGATGCCGCTTGGGAAGCCTCGACAGCACCACAGGTTCCCACATAGCTGGTAGCACTGTCCCACCAGGTGAGCTCTTGGCTGGTCTTCACAGTGGTGTGTTGGGCGTTGCTTCCCAGCATTCACTTTTTCCCCTTACAGCCTCAGCGAACACCCACTGTTTGTTTTTCTTAGTCATCAAGGCACCTGCATCTTCCTTCACCCTATGTACTTGCTTTGCTTTCAGCAACTTGTGGGAAAAGTGCATGCCGACACCTCCCTGTCACTATGGGCATGTTTTACTTGTACCTTAGTTGCCCCATCTTCTTGTTCAGTCTATTTGCTTCTATGTAGGAATGGCTCAGGGTAAGGTTTATCAGATCCTCTTCTGCAGCACCCTTGGGTGGGCTGAGGGATCACTGTCCCCCCAAGGACTGCTGTGCTACTGCAGATATCTTCTATCCCAGTGGCAGTGCAGCATTCACCCTGACAGAGGGGAGGCTGGCAGCCATAGGTGTCCCAGCCGGAGAAGGCGGTCCTTGGCATTGGCAGTCCTGCACTGGAGGAGGCTTTGCTGGGTGAGACCCAGCGATGCTCCCTGTCTCCGAGCTGGGGCAGGAGGTGGTGGGTGACCTGTGCTCTGCCCCAGTGTGGGCGAGTGACAAGAGCAGAGCAGGGGGGGATTTAATGTCCCAGCCCTAAAAGGCAGTGTTGTAGATGAGGTCCTGGGAGCACGCACCCACCGCCTCTGCAGCTCA